CTCTGCAGGAGAAGTGGTCCCTGGCGTCACAGCCCCCTCGCCTGATGAGGCTGGAGGGCTCCTTGGGCCCCGACCACTCTCCTCCAGCCAGGGCGGGTGCAGGGCTGGGAGGGTGAGCCACGAACTTGACATCGGTGACCTTCACTGCCACCTGGTGGACAGCCTGGGAGTGGTAGCCTGTGGGCTGGGCGGGCGGAAGGGGTGCAGTGTCCGGGACGAAGGCGGCTGAGCATCACGGAGACCAGCACAGAGGGAACAGCGAGTGGGAGGGGGGTGTGACATCAGGGACAAGGGAGAGGTCACAGACTCGGACAGTGGCCGTCTTGTGCTGGCCCCTGCATCTGGGTGGTTGGCAGGTGGAGCACCAAGATACAGGGTTGATAGGACTAGGCTGGAATCCTGGACTCTCTCTGATCCCGGCAAAGTCACAGAAGCTTCTCCTGTCCTACCCCTGGTCTTTGGAGGGGAGGAGTAACACCCTCCTCCTGGGCTGGCGCGGGGAAGAGAAGCTCCTGCGTGTGAAACAGCTCCACCACCAAGCGCCTGCAGACCAGCGGTGTGTTCCACCTGGAACCTGCCCAGGGAACATGTGGGGAAGGTGTGGCCGCCCTGCCAGGCGAGGCTCCACAGGAAATTCGCTCCTTATGATGTGCGTTTCAAAGGGCCCTAGGACATATTTTTCTTAAATTGAGGTAAAATTCACGTAACATAAAATTACCCATTTTAAAGTGTTCTGTTCAGGCCAGTGTGGTGGCATTCAGCACATTCATGATGGGCGGTGGCAACTCCACCTTGCTCCAAAACATTTTTTGAGACAGAGTCTCACTCTGTTGCCCAGGCTGGAGTGCAGTGGCGTGATCTCAACTCCCTGCAACCTCTGCCTCCCGGGTTCAAGCGATTCTCCCGCCTCAGCCTCCCAAGTAGCTGGGATTACAGGTGCCCGTCATTATGTCTGGCTAATTTTTGTATTTTTAGTAGAGACAGGGTTTCGCCATGTCGGCCAGGCTGGTCTTGAACTCCTGACCGCAGGTGATCCACCCGCTTCAGCCTCCCAAAGTTCTGGAATTACAGACATGAGCCACTGTGCCTGGCCCCCAAAACATTTTCATCACCCTAAAAGGAAACCCCAGCCACTGACAATCACTGGCTCTTCCCCCACCCCGGTGGCCCCTTGACAGCCTCTGGTGGCGCCTCCTCTGCCCCGGTGGCCCCTCGCCAGCCCCTGGTGGCCCCTCCTCTGCCCTGGTGGCCGCTCCCCAGCCCTGGCGGCCGCTCCCCTGCATCTGTCCTTGGGGACTGGCCCATTCTGGACATTTCATGGGACTGGAACCATCCAGTATGTGGCTTCTTCCACTGTGCGTGACGTCCTTGGGTTCATCCACACTGTGACCTGTGTCAGAACTGCCTGGCTGTTGATGGCTGGTTAGCTCTCCATCAGAGGGATGTTTGACATTTGGTTTCTCAATTTGGCAGTGGATGGATACTTGGGTCTGTACCTAGAAGTGGAGTTGCTGGTTCTTATGGAAATTCCACGTTTAGCTTTTTGGGGAACTGCCAAACTGGTTTCCACAGCGGCTGCAGCATTTTACCTCCACCAGCCGGGCATGAGGGTACCGTTCCTCACAGCCTCACCACACTGGTTTTCTGTGTTTTGTTTTTGTTTTTTTAATTCTAGCCATCCTGAAGGTGTGAGGCAGATCTCCTGGTGGTTGGTTGGTTGGTTTGTTTTTGAGACAGAGTCTCGCTCTGCCCCAGGCTGGAGTGCAGTGCCGAGATCTCGGCTCACTGCAGCCTCTGCCTCCTGGGTTCAAGTGATTCTCATGCCTCAGCTTCCAGAGCAGCTGGGATTATAGGTACCCACACCATGCCAACTAATTTTTGTATTTTTAGTAGAGAAGGAGTTTCACCATGTTGGCCAGGCTGGTCTTGAACTCCTGACCTCAGATGATCCACCCACCTTGGCCTCCCAAAGTGCTGGTAATACAGGTGTGAGCCACCGCGCCCAGCCTCCTGGTGGTTTTGATCTGCATTTCCTGGTGGTGATGGTGTTGAGCGTCTTCTGTGCGCCGCCTTTTTCAAAGAAGCCGGAATTCTCCCTGGAATGTCAGTGCCCCCATTCCGTTTCCATCGAGGAAGTGAGCCTGGAGGACGCCGTGGAGTCCACACCCTACACCTGGCTTCCCCTTGGAAGTTTTTGGCCAAAATCTCAGCTCCTTCAGCTACATGGGGCCTCCCTGGACCCAACTCAGGGGCACCTTTTGGCCCAAGGGGAGTTTCAGAAGCAGCGAGGACAGACACAGGTTGGCGGCATCTGCAGGTGTTTGGCGGGGGGGTGGTGAAATGAGGTTGCCGAGCTGCCAGGCACCCAGGCTATGTCTGTAGGGAGGCCCCACAGTCCCTGCACCCCCTCGACTGCCCAGTGCTCTCCGTGGAGAAACACGACAGACGCGGTTGGATAGAGTACAGTGGATGGACGTCCCCACCTGCTCCCTGCGGACGCTTTGGGTGGAAGCCCAGACTGTCCATGGCTGCCAGGCAGACCATGCTGAGGGATGGTGGCCAGGAGCCAGGGAGCCGGCCCACTCCTGCCCGAGTGACACCCCACAGGTCACAGGACAAATGCCAGGGGCCTCATGGTGTGGAAAGGGACATGGAGGCCTGGAGTACTGAGGGACTTTCCCAAGGCCACGCGGCCGGGCACGGGGAAACTGGGCCTTCCCAGTGCCTCCAAGGTCTCTTCCTGGCCAGAGGCAGCTTCACCCAACAGGCCTGGCAGTCCAGAGTCTGAGACTTCAGTAGTAATGGGGTTTGTTGGCAGGAAACTGGGAGATGAGTAGGTTTCCGGAAAGGCTGGAGAGAACCTGAGAGCTGAAGGGAAACACCGGACCTAGCCTGGCCCAAGGACCAGCCCTTAGTCCAACCACCGGCCCTGTGCTGGCTGTGGTGCAGCCGGCTCTGCCCCTGGGTGTGGTAGTGACAACTTCCTGCCCGCCCCCCAAATGCAGCTCTCAGTGCTGCCCGCTGCTCCCAACGTGAGGCCCAGCCCCAGCTGCGGAGCAAAGGTGCACCTCCAGGGGCATCTCCACCAAACCTCTACAAAGACCACCCCCTGCAGCAGGGGCGAGCTGGAACCCCCTGAGCTGATCTCCTGGGGCCTCCCTCGGCCCCTTTAACCAAGCACTGTGGAGCCCAGGCTATCCTGTCCATGACCGCACTGCGGACAGGCGTCTGAGTATCCACAAACACACACTGCTTTCAGGTGATGTCTTTCAACTTTGGAACTCCTAGACGAGCTCGCCCCTCTCAGTAAGCCCCAGGCCTCCTAAGGCCATTTCTCAATGGGAGCCGTGGCCCTGGCATAGGTAGGGTGGAGCCTGACACTCTCCCATGTGGACGCAGATGTCTCCCCTATGTGTATTTCTCTCTGTTTTTTGGAGACAGGGTCTTGCTTGTTCTGTCACCCAAGCATGATCTGGGCTCGCTGCAGCCTTACCTCCGGGGCTCAAGCAATCCTCTCACCTAAGCTTTCTGAGTAGCTGAGGCTGCAGGCGTGCACCACCATGCCCAACTAATTTTTTAAAAAGTTTTTTTAGAGATAGGTTCTTGCTGTGTTGCCCAGACTGGTCTTAAATTACTGGGCTCCAGTGGTCTTTCTGCCTTGGCCTCCCAAAGTGCTGGGATTTCAGGCGCGAGCCACCGTGCCCAGCCCCAAATGTGTATTGCCCAGACCTCTTTGCTAACCACCAGATCTATGGCTCTAACCACCTACCTGACAGTCCCCAAGCAGACCCTCTGCCAGGTCCCAGCCTCGGACCATGGTCCCTCCATATCCCCACACATACTGCTGAGAACCTTGGTGTCTCACCCTTTCTGTTTCCTCTTCCTTCACTCTCCTCCCCCGACCCCCTCCCTAGTCCCCATGTCTTGTCAACTTTGAGCTCCCGAATCTGTCTACCCAACCCCGGGCCCCGGACCCCTCCATCCAGGACCTGGGAAAGGGCCCCTTACCTGATCCCCAGATGCCCTTGGCCTGTCCAAACCCGTCTCCATACTCAGCGAGGTTTTCCAAGTACAGATCTGACCCGAGGGCCCCTGCGGCAGCCCTGTGCTGACGTCCACTGCCCCAAGGACAAAGACCTGGGTCCTCAGTCCCTGTACGGCAGCTTGCACCCAGGTCCTCTTGCTGAGCTCCAGCCACTGGCCCCGCTGGGCAAAAGTGACCATGTGATACGGAGCTCCTGCCTCCCAGGAGCGGGGTGAGAATCTGAGATCCCCCCTTCCCCAGGGCTGTGCAAGAGACTGAACACCTGTGTGGACCTGTCTGCCCTTCGCCCCCACACACTAGCTGAGAGTAAGCCCCCCAGGCAGGCACACAGGAGAAGGATAAGACAGGAGACTCCCGTGACCTGCTCAGAACAGGCTCAGCCCCAGGGGGCCTCTGCCCCCACTTCCCCATGCTCTGTGGTTCTCTCTCCATGAGGTCCAGGGCCTCCCAAGACCTTCAGGTATTAAACAGCCTTTGGTCGCTTCGGTGACAACAGCAGCTTCATTTACTGGGTGATTCTCAGCATGATAATTGGAACTTGGCCTGCCTTGTGCTGAGATTAAACCTCTGCCCGCTGCCTTGTGCTGAGACCTGCGGTGGCAGGAAAAGTTGGGGTTTGCAGAGATTCTTAAATGTGTTGTGTTATGTAGATTCCAGTTCTCAGTTGAAAAGTCTCCATCTTTTAATCTACTTTCTCCCTTGCTTTCTCCATCTGAACAAAAACACGGCGCTCACAGAGAGTTCAGGGGTTCTCTGCTGCGACTTCCACTGTCTGGCTGAGCGTGCGTCCATTTCCATGGGCTATTTTTTCCTGTTGATTTTAGGCGCTGTGGTCTCTGAATGCTGGTGAAGCCTGGAGGCTCCAGATCCCGGGTCAGCAAATTGCAGCGGGGGACGGCCGCCCGCTTTTGTGAGTGCAGCTTATTGAAACGCAGCCATGCCCGTTTGTTTACAGATACTCCGTGCTTGCGTGTGCCCTACAGCAGCACAGTTCAGTAGGCAGAAGCCACTTCTACTACCTGGCTAAGGAAAACATGGACAGATCCTGCTCTGGATGACGCCGCGTTCCAGCCGGCAGAGAGGGTCCCCCATTTCTTCGGTAAGGAGACCCCCTCGCTCCAATCAGGGACTGAGCTGAGCTGAGGACGAGCTGCCCTTTGGGTGAGCCTGTCTCTGGGTTGCTTGTCTCTAGGAACTAATCCTCCAGGAAATTAACAGAGAGCTGCTGTTGGAAACTGGAGCCCTCCCCTTCCTCAGCCCTGAGCGAGGTAAACAATTCTGCTCTGCCTTCCGGAGGTTTCTAATGAGCTCTTCGACCAGCATCTTCACACAGCTTCCAGTCCTGCCACAGTCTTGAAGAAGAGATCAGCTTTCAAGTCGTCATTCTTGTCAAGATTAGATGCCCCTCGAATCTCCCATGTGTCATTAATCCCAGCACGAACAAGCACTCGGGAACTGCGGGCTGCAGATGGTCCGCTTATCCTGCAAAACCCTCCTCTTTTGGGGCTTAACCCCTTTAGTCTTTGTTGCTTCTGCAGCTTTCTGATGCCATTAAAGAGATGATTTTTATATTTTTGCCTGGCCTTTCTAGTTCTTAGTGGGAGCCTTGATCTGCTGCACTCCATCCTACTTGGAAGTAGAAGTCTGTTTTCTCATGTTTAAAATGTTAATTTCAGGTCACATACGGTGGCTTATGCGTGTAATCCTAGCACTTTAGGAGGCCAAAGTGGGAGGATCACTTGTAAGCTCAGGAGTTCCAGGTGAGCCTAGGAAACATAGGGAGACCTCATCTTAAAGAAAAAAAAAAATGGCACTCACCGAGCATGGTGGTGCATACCTGTAGTCTCTCTCACTTGGGAGGCCAGGGCAGGAGGATCACTTGAGTCCAGGAGTTTGAGGTTACCGTGAGCTACGGTTGCATGACTGCACTCTGGCCTGGGCAACAGAGCAAGACCCTATCTCCAAAAACATAAAGATAAAATAGGCTGGATGCAGTGGCTCACATCCATGATCCTAGCACTTTGTCAGGCCAAGGCAGGAAGATTGCTTGAGCCCAGGAGTTCAAGACCAGCCTGGCCAGCATAGTGAGACCCTGTTTCTAAAAAAAAGAAATTAGATGGCCATGGTGGCACATACCTCTACTTAGGAGGCTGAGGCAAAAGGATCACATGTACCCAGGAGTTTGAGGCTGCAGTGAGCTGTGACCGTGCCGCTACGCTCAGCCTGGGCAACAGAATAAGACTCTGTCTCTAAAAATATAAGTCAATAGGCTGGGCGTGGTGGCTCACGCCTATAGTCCCAGCACTTTGGGAGGCCGAAGTGGGTGGATCACGAGGTCAGGAGCTCGAAATCATCCTGGCTAACATGGTGAAACCCCGTCTCTATTAAAAATACAAAAAATCAGCCAGGTGTGGTGGCAGGCACCTGTAGTCCCAGCTACTCAGGAGGCTGAGGCAGGAGAATGGCGTGAACCCAGGAGGCAGAGCTTGCACTGAGCCAAGACCGTGCCACTGTACTCCAGCCCGGGTGACAGAGTGAGACTCTGTCTCAAAAAAAAAAAATATATATATATATATATATATGTATATGTGTGTGTGTGTGTATATATGTATAAAAATATGTCAATAAGGGCCGGGCGCGGTGGCTCAAGCCTGTAATCCCAGCACTTTGGGAGGCCGAGACGGGCGGATCACGAGGTCAGGAGATCGAGACCACCCTGGCTAACACGGTGAAACCCCGTCTCCACTAAAAAATACAAAAAACTAGCCGGGCGAGATGGCGGGCACCTGTAGTCCCAGCTACTCGGGAGGCTGAGGCAGGAGAATGGCGGGAACCAGGGAGGCGGAGCTTGCAGTGAGCTGAGATCCGGCCACAGCACTCCAGCCTGGGCGACAGAGCGAGACTCCGTCTCAAAAAAAAAAAAAAAAAAAAAAAAATATGTCAATAAAAATAAATAAAATGTTAATTTCAGTTTCCAGTTGTTCATTGCTAGCAAATAGAAATACACATTTCGTTTTGTACCCTGACCTAGTATTCTGTGACATTCTAATTGGTTCTAGTAGATTCCTTTGAGATTTTCTATGTAGCCATGCTGTCCACAAATAGAGACATTTGTGTATTTATTCCTTCCCAATATGTGTTCACTTTATTATTTTCTTGCTTATTACACTGACCAGGGCCTCCAATGTGATGCTGAATAGATGTGGTGAGAGGAGATGCCCTTGCCTTGTTTCCTTCCTTTTGGGGAAAGCATCCAATCTTTCATCATTAAGTGTGATGTTATCTGTAGAGCTTTTGTGATGCCTTTTGAAAAGTTAAGGAAGTTGTTTTTTTATTCCTAGTTTGCTAAGAGTTTTTATCACAAATGGATGTTGAATTTTGTCAAATTCTTTTCCTGCATCTTTTTTTTTGAGGTGGAGTCTCGCTCTGTCGCCAGGCTGGAGTGCAGTGGCGCAATCTCGACTCACTGCCAGCTCCACCTCCCGGGTTCACGCCATTTCTCCTGCCTCAGCCTCCTGAGTAGCTGGGACTACAGGCGCCCGCCACCACTCCTGGCTAATTTTTTGTATTTTTAGTAGAGACGGGGTTTCACTGTGTTAGCCAGGATGGTCTCGATCTCCTCACCCCGTAATCCGCCCACCTCGGCCTCCCAAAGTGCTGGGATTACAGGCATGAGCCACCGTGCTCGGCCTCTTTTTTTTTTTAAGCCTGTTGATAATGATGAATTAGATCAATGTTTGAAGGTTGAACCAACCTTGCATTTCCAGAATAAACCTCATTTTTTTTTTGTCCCAGAATAAACAGATTACTTCAGGATAAAGACTCATTTTTATATATTGCTGGATTATTTGCTAATAATGAGTTGAGGATTTTGCATCTATGTTCATAATGGATATTTGTCTGTTTGCTTTTCTTGTAATGGCCTCATGTGGTTTTAGTGTCAAGGTAATGTTGAATTCATAAAAGGAATTGCCAAGTGTTCTCTCCTCTTCTATTTTCTGTAAGAGTTTGTGTAGAATTGGTATTAAGTCTTCCTTAAATGTTTGGTAGCATTTAATGGACATATGACAATTTGGTTTACCTGTTTATTCTTGAGTGAGCTTTGGTAGTTTGAATCTTTCAAGGAATTTTCCCATTAAGTTTAAATTGTCAAATTTATGAGCATAAAACTGTTTGTAACATTTCCTTTTTTTTCCTCTTTTTTTTGAGATGGAGTCTCGCTCTGTCACCCGGGCTGGAGTGCAATGGCATGATTGCGGCTCACTGCAATCCCCACCTCCCAGGTTCAAGCGATTATTCTGCCTCAGCCTCCCAAGTAACTGGGATTACAGGCGCCCGCCACCATGCCCAGCTAATTTGTTTGTATTTTTAGAAGAGATGGGGTTTCACTATTTTGGCCAGGTTGGTCTCAAACTCCTGACCTTGTGATCCACCTGCCTCGATCTCCCAAAGTGCTGGGATTACACCATGCCCGGCTGTAATATTTCCTTCATATCTTTTTCATGTCTATAGGGTCTGGGGTAGTGTTCCCACTTTCATTCCTAATGTAATTTGTATCTTCTCTTTTTTTCCTGATCACTCTAACTTGAAGCTTTTCATATTTATTGATATTTTCAAATAACCAGTTTTTGCTTTCACTGATTTTTCTCTGATGTTCTGTTTTCATTTCTGCTAATGTCTACTCACTGTTGTTTCTTTTGCTTTGGATCTGCTCTTTTTTTTTAATTAATTAAGGTGAAAGTTTAGCTGATTTCAGACTTTTCTTCTACCTTAACATAAACATTTAATATTCTAAGTTTTCCTCTAAACACTGCTTAGCTAGAATCCATAAATGTTAATATGTTTAGTTTTCATTTTCTTTCAGTTAGAAACAGCCTCTAAATTCCCTTGTGATGTTCTGTTTAACTCACAGGTTAATTTAATATTTGTGGATTTTCCAGATAGCTCTTTTTTACTGGCTTTTGGATTGATATTATGGTCAGAGAACATGCTTTGTATGAGTTCAATTCCTTTAAATGAGTTAAGGTTTATTTCATGGCCCAGAACATGATATGTCTTGGTAAAAGTCCAGCAGGCGCTTGAATAGAATGTGTATTCTGCTCTTGTTGGGTGGAATGTTCTATAAATATCAGCTAGGTCAAACCAGTTAAAAACATTCAGGTCTCCTATATCCTTCATGATTTTCTACTTATTCTCTCAATTACTGAAAGAGGGGCCAGGCACAGTAGACTATGCCTGTAATGCCAGCATTTTGGGAGGCCAAAGCAGGAGGTTCACTTGAAACCAGGAGTTCAAGACCAGCCCAGGCAACATGACAAGAGCCCCTCTTTACAGCAATACTCAGGAGGCTACCTCAGCCTCCTGAGTAGCTGGGATTACCGGTGCACGCCACCACGCCTGACTAATTTTTGTATTTTTAGTAGAGATGGGGTTTCACCATGTTGATCAGGCTGGTCTGAACTCCTGACCTCAAGTGATCCACCGCCTCGGCCTCCCAAAGTGCTGGGATTACAGGAATGAGCTACCACTCCTGGCCTGTTGATTGTCTTTTTGCATTAGGTCATTCTTGCACTGCTATAAAGAAATACCTGAGACTGGGTCATTTATAAAGAAAGGCTTATTGGTTCATGGTTCAGCAGACTGTACAGGAAGCACAGTGGCACCTGCTTCTCGAGAGGCCCAGGAGGCTTCCAATCATGGTGGAAGGCAAAGCAGGAGGAGGGACATCACATGGCAAAGGCAGGAGTGAGTGGGGGGATAGGGGAGGTGCCACACACTTGCAAATGACCAGATCCCTTGTGAACTGAGAGAGACAGCTCACTTATCACCAAGGCATGACCCAAGCCAGTCATGAGAGATCCGCTCCCATGACCCAACACCTCCCCCCAGGCCCCACCTCCAGCACTAGAGATTACAATTCAACATGCGATTTGGGTGAGGTCAAATATTCAGACTGTATCATTCTGCCTGGGGCCCCTCCCAAACCTCATGCCCTTCTTACATTGCAAAATACTATCATGCCTTCCCAAGAATAGTCTTCCCAAAGTCTCAACTCATTCCAGCGTTAACTCAAAAATCCAAAGTCTCCTCCGAGACAAGGCAAGTCCCTTCCACTGATAAGACTGTAAAATAAAATACAAGTAATTTACTTCCAAGATACAATAGGAATATAGGCACTGGGTAAGCACTGTCATTCCAAAAGGGAGCCATCAGCCAAATGAAAGGGAGTACAGGTCCCATGCAAGTTCCAAACCCAGCAGGGCAGGTGTTAAATCTGAAAGCTCCAAAACCATCTCCTTTGACTCCATGCTCCACAGCCAGGGCACACTGGTGCCAGGGGTGGGCTCCCAAGGCCTTGGGCAGCTCCGCCCTCGGGGCTCTGCAGGTTCCATCCCCAACGCTGCTCTCACAGGTGTAGAGTGCTCGTGACTTTTCTAACCACAGGGTGCAAGCTGCTGGTGACTTTGCCGTTCTGAATTCTGGAGGGCAGTGGCCGCTTCTCACAGCTCCACTAGGCAGGGCCCCAGCGGGGACTCTGTGTTGGGGGTCCAACTCTCTCAGTTACTGAAAG